ATAATGTTCTTATCAATATACAACCTTTCATTTTTTGCTATACGTCCCCATTAAGGAGTTGAAGGGTTGGCCCCTAAATATTTCTTTTTCAAATAACTCGAAAACAAAAGAGAATCTCTGAATAGTTGTTGAACAAAAAGTGTTCAAAATTCTGAGAGGTTTAAGATGAGATCAAGAAAAAGGGGCTGGGCACTCAAATTAAGGGCCGAGAGGGGCCAAAACTCTTTAATCGATAACTCTTTAGCAGTCAATATTTTGTAATACATTACTGAAGCAAAAATGTTTATCTCAACAATCTACAACTATATATTATGATTTAAATTTCTTTATGGTGCAAAATTAGGGGCCATAAGGGGCCAAAATGCTAAATCTTTGACGCTTTATATCTCAAAAGTGGGAAATATTTTGATAAGTAATATTGAACTTAAGATGTTCAAAATAATGTTCTGAACAATAGTGCAACCTTTCATTTTTTGCTATACATCCCCATAAAGGAGTTGAAGGGTTGGCCCCTTAATATTTCTTTTGCAAATAACTCGAAAACGAAAGAGAATCTCTGAATAGTTGTTGAACAAAAAGTGTTAACAAACATGAGAACATTAAGATAAAATCCAGAAAAAGGGGTTGGGTACTCAATTTAGGGGCCAAGAGGGGCCAAAAGTCTTTAATCGATAACTCTTTATCAGTAAATATTTTATTATACAATACTGAAGCAAAAATGTCTGATGGAGTTCTAGAATATTCTTTTCGTATTTAATGAAATTGAGTTATGTTAAGTAATATTAGTGTGTTATATGAAATGTTTTGTTTAGTATTTGAAGTTCCGTAGAATGTCTCCTTAATATGTATATATATGAGAATGGGACTTAAGTGTGTGTTGAGATGTGCCGTGAAAGTGTCATGAGAAGTGTTGTATAGAGGTTATATATATGTTTGAAATAGTGCCGTGTAGTAATACACTGTTGTGATTGGTCAGTTGTTGTCATGGTAACGATGACGTCACTTCCGGTGCGGGAGAATTTGAATTTAGTAAATGTGTAATATTCGGTGTCTGTGTTTATTGTGTTGTAGATTGATTTTTTGTATGTTTGAGTGGAATTTGTTGGTATTGATTGTTATATGATTTTAGAAAGTGTTTTGTTGTTTCAGAAATGTCGTGAGAGCTTTAAGATGATATGAAGAAAAAAGGACTGATCCCTAAAATTAGGGTGCACGAGGGGCCAAAACTCGAATTTTAAGTCTTAATGTTCAATGTCTGTTTACAGATTATGGAGGCAAAATCGTTCTTCTTCACAATCTTTATCATTATTTTAGTCCCGTGAGGATCCGGGTTAGAATAGGTCCTCAGTACCCCCTTGCTTGTCGTAAAAGGCGACAAAATGGGGCGGTCCTTCGGATAAGACCGTATAAACCGAGGCCCCCTTTCACAGCAGGTGTGGCACGATAAAGATCCTTCCCTGCTCAATGGCCCTGAGAGCCGAGCATAGGCCCAAATTTGCAGCCCTTCACCGGCAATGGTGACGTCTCCATATCAGTGAAATATTCTGGAGAGGGACGTTAAACAGTATACAATCAATCAATCAATCAATCATTCATTATTTTAGAATGAAATTCTCAATCAAAATCTTATCTTATCAAGAATCGGACGGAAGACCCACTCGTTGCTCGCAACGAGATCGTATCTAGTTATTCTTTTTTTTCTTCTGCTTCCTAGACCGAAACTTTGAGGCCTCATATCTCACACATTTCTTAACGGATTTTGCTCAAATTTTCTGAGGTTATAAACGTTTATAAACTCTATCAGAAATTTCAAAAAGTCACTTCCGGTTTTGAGTTATTTCCCTTTAAACGAAAATTTATAGGCTTTCGTTTCCGGACAAAGGCTCAGAGACGGCTAAAGCTGGAGCAGAAATTCTACTGAATTTAGATAAAAGAAGGATTGAAGTTGTGCACATCGGTTTTTGTTTTTCGATTTCTCTATTCAAAATGGCGCTATATAGGGGTCAAAAATTAGAACGCTTAAAAGAACAAAAAATTACTCATATTTTGCTTCTTATCTTCTAAACTAAAAATATTTTGTTAAAATATACATGATTTGTACACAATTAGAAGATCTTTCAAATGATATGTCGGAAAAAGGGCTGACCCCTAAATTAAGGGATCTAGAGGGGCCAAAAGTTTTTTCCAGATATCTCAAAAAGTATTGAGAATTTGTTATACATCAAAGAAGCAAAGTTGTTGAAAATGTCAAGCTTAATTTAATGGTGTCGTCCAGCATCGACACTTCCGGCCAAACCGGAAGTAGTCAAAAAACGCGTATTTTTGCCGTTTTTGACAAGTTTTTTGGGTAACACATGTCTTTGGGAGCTAAAAAATTAATTTTCCGTGCGTCGTCGTCACTTCCGGTTAAACCGGAAGTAGCATGAAAAGGCTTATTTGTGCATTGATTAACATAGCTTTAGAGGATTCAAAACATTTTTTGGCGTTATTTCTCTTTTTTTTTAATGAAAGCTACTTCCGGTCAAACAGGACGGAAGACCTACTCGTTGCTTTGCAACGAGCTTTGCTCTAGTTTTATATACATTCGTTTGAATTCTAAAGATATATACTTTGACTCCATGTCTGTACCCATTTTTGTGTGAAACGTACCTTAATTTTTTTTTCAAAATGTTTTTGTAATCGCATGTACATGTGCCCCTTTGAACTTGCACAAATCACTTTTGATCAAGGTGTAAATTAATAATTCTTATGTTCTTCCGTAAAAAAGATATGCATCATCAACATCTTGTAAAATTCAAGTTAATAATTAAGTTGAAAGGAGCTGGTTACTAAACGGAAAAAAATGTATATTTAATCTGTGAAACAGCAACATACCCAAATAAAGAAACTTTGACCTTGATTTGCATTAAATAATTAATATTGTTTACTGTGAAACAGTAAGTCTGACCTTGGTTTTTATATATTGAAACTAACGTCTCTAGTGTCAAAGTTTTTTGTTTTCCTCACAAAAAGACACACAGGCATGTTATAATATTATACAATTATTGCTGTTTTTTGAGGTCAATACAATGATTTAGCCATCTAAGGAGTACAATATTCACCGAGCCCGAAGATGGCTAAATCATTGTATTGACCGAAAAAAAATAGCAATAATCGTTTTATTATATGATTCACTGATAAAATGATAAAGCTCATTACTTGTTTGCATTTAATTTAGTCCTAGCCAAATGCAAGAGAGAAGCAGAATTTAAAAGTAAATAAACCTTACCAGTAGTGTCAATTTGAAATGTTCTTTTTTTTTGGATCAATTTTAGTTGTCGTTAAAAAAAATAATGTCAGTCTTTTTTATAGGATAGATTTTGAAAGGAATGAGTATATTATCAGGGAAAACTGACAGCCAAAAAGTAAAATTTGTTGTTCAGTAAAAGTGTTGGAGGGGGGTCCCTGCATCCCCTCTTACCACCCTCACCCGTAAATATATATTCGCTCATGTTTTGTTCACGTGAAAAAAAGTCATAGTCGGTCAAATAGCTTTCCAAAGCAATTTGTATCAATTTGGAATTTCCTGATCTATTTTTAGATCAATGTAGAGGAAATAAATCCTTGTATTCACCTTGAACGTCACGTGCAGGTCAATACAACGTAGTATTTTTCTAACATAGTTGGATCTCAGCCAATCAGAGAGATGGAAATTATTCAATCATATAATAAAATCAATTATTGTTCTTTCATGTTTGATTTCATCGTATGATTTTAATTCAGGTATAAAAGGACAAGCCAGTACTAAATAGTAAAACCCCACTCTGTTTGACTCTCATGAATCAATCTCACTATAACATGGCATACCAAAACGAAGCGTGTACTAGAATTTCAAGAATCTGCAATGAGTATTCGCTGAGAAAACTGTGATAGAAATTGGTACATACAGACACACAGACAAACAGAAAGTTGACGTTGTATTCATACAAAAATAATTGTCACCTTTCGACCTGCAAAAAAAACCCCAATCATCTACTATGAGTAGTTGCCGAAAATATGCGAAGAAAATTTGTTACAGACAGACACACAGAAGGGTAAAAAGTATACCCCAGAGCTAGTGTCGAATTCCTAGTAATCTGTTTGATTGACTGGACAGTGTTATAAATATGTATGATTCACTTTACGTGTTTGAATAAAATTAACCACAACTCAACAGATTGCAAAATTTGCAAAGTCATTAGTATTTAAGTGTGTGTTGCATTGCGAACCACAACCATATTTCAGTATAATCTTTCTGCACATATACTCAATGTTAAAGCGGTTGAGGGTACCATACTTTGATCATTTGTTCCAATATTATCCTAACTTTTTTCTCCCAAATTAAATACATAGCACAAAATTAGACATGTTGAAAATAATGAAAGTAAGTTTAAAATTGTTGGCAATATAATTTCATTTTTCGCAAAAAGCATGGACCAAAAAACAGCCTTGTTGAAACCTCTCCTTTTCACAAAATGTTATTCTATTCAGAAAGAGGGTTTGTTTCTGTGAGTCTTTTTTCATTTTGAGTTTCAAGAAACGATTTCAGCAAATTCATGTCAGTAAATCATTTCTTTCAAATGCGATCCAGAGATCAGGATGAACTAGCCTGGTTCTTGCCCTAATTTGCTTCGTAAACTCTGCGTCACTAGGGCCAGGTGGAGTACAAAAGATTCAGGGCGAATCTGCCCTGAATCTTATCCAATTGCGATCCAATATGGCTGCGCTTCCGGCGAAGACGTTCATTTTGACGTCATATTTTTCTACGTCATTGACGTAATGTGTCATTGTTACGTCGATATTTATTTCCATGGTTAACGGTAACGGCTCAAAAACCCACGATCTAGCGCGCATTGTTCTGACTAATAAAAGGAAGGCATATAATGTAATCCACATGGCTCTCCTGCTTTGGCAAGGATGAGACAGGGGACTAGGCTAAGGATGAACAAGGAAACTGTTTTTTTCTTCCAATTTATTATATAATAAGTCTTGACAAAATGTACAAATAATATACAAATGTTAATGTTACACAACTTACTTTTTCCGCTTTATGATGACATCTAGAACTTTCAATTCTAGCTAATGTTCCGATGAATTTTGGTTGATTTTGAAACTTATGATAATTCACCACATGGAAATAAGAGCTATTGCATGTATTTGATTTTCTTAACTTTACCACTGCCCCATTCGGCCACAAAGAGATTGTCTCTTGTGTCTACACACAAACCCCAAGGAAGGTCTAGTTTAAGTCGTACGTAACGGAGAAATTAACCGCCCTGATCTAGTATGTGTATACAGTTGTTGTAACAGTCTGCTATTAGGATCTGACTCTGGCTGTCTATTGTAATCCCGTATGGATCAAAGGATTTTTTGGATGCAGAGTAACAACCAGAATATCTAAATTTGAGTTTTGCAGCCCTATTAATCACAACTACGGTACTTGCTCCATTGTCAGCCACACAGATATCCAGATTCCTATTCTCACTGATGTATTTAATGAAACCTAGTGAAAACAAGGGTTTTCCTTTTTCATCAAACTGAATTAATTGTTTCTCTATGAAGCTATCAGAGTAACGGACAACTTTTGATTGTTTATGGAAATCACTAATCATGTAAACCAGGAGGTCACCAGAAGAGGTACTACAGATACTGTAGGGTTTCCACATTTGAAATTCTTTCGATTCTTTTTTCCGTTGATTTGCCACTACGTTTATAGTTTTTGATTCAGGGTCAGTATAGAGTAGATTTCCACTTCTTGTTACAGCAATGTCACCAGGAAAGTCCCCTAGCTCAGTTTTAAATGACTGTAATACTCTCCCACGTAAGTTGTAAAGTTTCATGACTTTGTCTTCTCCACATGTCCAAATGTGTTTATCACCGAGACATGTTACTCTATTCATTTCATACCCAGTGTCTATAGTGGTGATGAGTTCTGGTCTGGCAAGCAAAGGTTTGACTGTAAACGAGCCAGACATGAGATTAATTTGTTATGCCTGCTCTCTTGGTTTTTCGAAATATATCTTTCTTTCCTTTAATAAAGTAATTTCTGCATCGAATCAGTCGTACATGCATTTTGTCCTTTCTGTAATAAAACAGTATATGCAGGGAAAAAAGACAGGAAAGCCATATGCTTATTAACAAAAAAACTGTTCTTATGTCTGTTAATGAATATTTGAGAAAGTCACACAAGGACGATAGTATTCTGTAATATTGATAAAACCTAAATTTCTCGGCTATTTAATTCACAGATTCACTTTAAATCCATGCGATGTTTACATTTGTATTTCCCCTACTATTCCAAACATCGAGGATGCTGCCAAAAACAGTATACGTAATAATTAATGAAAAATAAAGTCATTTTATTTAATAAAAAAGTTCAAATACGGATCAATGAATGTGAATATATTGACACTTTAAAATGTTGACATTCTCACCCTTAAAATCAAGATGGCTTCCCTGACTATTTCCGATTGTGAATTATGTATTTATGTGCATTTTACTTTTTATTTTGCACTTTTTATTGAGAATAACTGACTTCATGTCATGGGATTTAAATACCCGTCTGGCTTTGTAGCAAATTAATACCCGTGAAAACATTTCAATTGTTAAAATACATGTTTGTTGACAAATTGACATTTAAAGCAGTCTTTGGCAAAATAATTCGTCAATATAATGACATAGTTTCTAACACTTGCATTGTAATTCATAAATTCCATTTATTTATTTTCATCTGCATAGCTTCGATTTTCATACGCAGGCACGTAGCAACAGGGGTTCTGGTGGGCTACAGCATCCCAACTTGCACTATTGAAAATATTTATTAAAAGGCTGGGTGCCCCCACCCCCCAGTTTTTACTACGGTAAAGTGATATAAGTGAAACGTAGTATTGTATGCAAAAAATCGGTTAACGATGCTATGTGCCTGATACGAAAAATCAAAACAGTGTTCTTCTTAAATGCAGTGATAGTTAGGAACCCTCAAAACATAGACAATAATTTTAAAAGGCTCGTCATGCTAGAACTAAAAAATATTAATCAGTTAGTATATTTTCACATTTTTTTTAATCTTGTAAAGCATTTTGTTTTTTTTTCGTGTTTATCCTCATACATCGTTACTTTAGTAATCGCAATAGTTTACAATTATTAACTAAACAGATTACGTAGAAACTTCGATATACTACTTGTTCGAAACCATGGAGCTTTTTGTGGGATTCCAAACATACGACGTTAATGTTAATAACACTTATATAATTTTCAGTAATCAACGTTAACATAACTGATTCAGATATCGGATCTTATTCACATGTACCGAATGCCTGAACAAAAAAGATGCTTGAGAATAAGACCATTTCTCCACTTTCTTAATCAATGATATGGCTATCATCGGAGAAAAGTTATTTATGCCATTCTTTTTGAATATAGAAACCCTCCATGCTTTAATGTTGTACATTTGTTGATTGTTCATGTATATTTTTGTGAATGATATACCTGTACAAAACATAGGTTACTTTAAGACTGGATATTTATTTATGTTTCTACAGTATACATAATCTAACACATACATTTGGCATTTACACTTTATTCATGGTCAATACATATATCTGTTAGCAATATTTATATAGTTTAATTATTCTAAGGAGAGTTAACTTTGTTTATAAGTTCCATTATTACTATTCAAAGGGGTGATTTTGTAACCCTAGATGAAAAAATGCATCAAAATTTTCGGTGAAAATTAATGTTATAAAACAATCAATCTTATTGCCATAAATTTGGGTTTGTCTACACAATTTTGCTGGGATATATATTTGAGTTAATGGGGATGATGGAAAAAGAGCAAAAAAAAAGAGTTTGATGTTTTAGAATTCTAAAGAACCACAAGGCTAGAAATGACGAAACTAACCAATCATACATGTATGCATATACCCTACTGTAAAAGTGGTTATTAACGCGTGGGGGTTACTTACGCGGTGAGCTAAAAAGCGCGTAAAATACCCCCACGCGTATGGTCACAAAATTTCAATCTTCTGAAATATTTCTAGATTATTACTTATACTGTTTGACGGGTTGAACCAGTCGTGTATTTATCGTGGTATTGAACGCACTGGAATAGACAAATATATCACAAACTGTGATGATTATCATGTTACTTGTGCGGTGATAAATGCATCTTCATATTAAATATTTTAAAGCTAATAACGTCACGCAATTTCTTAATTTCAATTGATTAGTCCAAAATGTTAAAAATAAACTCACAGTCACTACAATCATACCTATCAAATTAACTGTCAAAACTCGAGAAGCAGATACAGTTAAGTAGATTTCACTTTGAAGTTTGAGCTTGCGTTAATAATTACAATATGAGCTTGCGTTAATAATTACAATAAAGCGCACACCATGGCCAGTTGTTCACACTTCACTGCATTTGACTGTACACATCGACGTTATATTTACCAAACAATGTAAACAGTATTTTTTAAAGTTTGTAATTATTTTTATTTTTTTTCTTATCATTTTCAAAGGGGAAAAAACCGATGTTACATGTAGTTACGATATTGAGGGCCGCGTAATTTTTTCTCCGTAACTAGAGCGAGCGCGTATATTATACCCACGCGTAATGTTTGACAGTCACAAACGCGTACTTAACAACCAGTGTAAATAACCACTTTTACAGTATAAAGAACTTTTTAAACCTGCCAAATTCCTTTCCTCATACCAAATACTTTATTGCAATAACAAAACCATCACCATCATTCATATTTTAATTCTCCTTTATCGTGATTAATGTACTACATGCAACATACATAGGAGTAATTCTGCAAAATAATCATGTCAAAATAATCGACAACAGAAGGTAAACTACACATAAAAATATGTCTACTTGTTGAAATCTCCGTTCTTCTCACTTTAATTTTAGGTTTATATTAAACACATTATCTAAGCATCTACCTCATGTAATCTTATTGAAAAAGGAGAACATGCACTGCCTGGGAGTAAGGTCTGATCTCCCTGAAATTGTAGAATTAATACATGTACGAGGGTTGTTGCAAAAGTAATGTCACAGTGTCCATATCTTTTACATTTGACGTCATATTACCAAATACAATATATCAAAAGATGCACAAATACAAATCAAAAAAACATTGAATTTTTCATATAATTATGTTCATTTAAATTTATTTTATAGATGTTTAAAACATATAGCATAGGGGGTGTCGCCGCGTCACAACTGAACGTCACATTTTCAAGTGCATTTTTTCTTAGAATGAAAAATACAAACACATTTAAACGATTCTAAAAAAGCACCAAATCTCTAATTTTTTTTAAAGAGACACAACTCAAGTCATTTTCTAGTCCTTAATTGAAAATTAGATGGACTTTTTGGTATCTGTTTTTATAAACACTGTTCTTTTACTCTCTGAATTGAACAAAGGGGTTGATGAAATGGGGAACAAACGGCTCGACGAGTTGTAATGCATTTTTGCTTCAAAATATGGAATCATCACTAGCGACAGTTTCGTTAATTAATTAGACTCACAGAATAAATAATGTAAATAAGAGACTTCTTTATAGATGGTTTCAGCAATTTTTGGCGGATGATGGGTCATTGAATGATTATCAGAGGACAAAAAGACCGAAAGATAGTAGATCGGACAGAAACGTTCAATGGTGTCTGACGTTGTCAAAAAACACAGACGGATAGATTGACATGTGAATTTTCAAGGTTGCCTTCCAAAAAAATTGACAGATGGCTTAATTATGAAAAGAGTCCCCGTTCACAGTTTTGCGGTCACCGTTAACCGTGCGCTCGCGTTCACCGTTCACATAACGTTCTCCGTGCGCTCTTCGTTCCGATTACTTTGCGTTCACCTTGCATTCACCGTTCACTTATTGTTAAGTCTTTATTGTCATTCGGAACTCAGAAGTGAAAGGACTTAACTGGTAAGAAGTTTTTTTATTTCATAACTAAGATATTATAGTGTTTGAAGAATAATAATTTCATTGTAAAAAAAATCGTAATTTTATTGTTATATTTCTATTATTATTATTATTATTTCTATTATTATAACTAAGCTATTATTTTATCCATGAATTTTCCCTGGAAAATAATACATTAAGTACCTACATGTATGTAGAAAGATGCTACAACATTAAATTTATAAATAAGGGCAATGTATTAATACTTCAAGCATGGCAACATTTTGTTTCAATGTAAAAGACGACAAACCGTTAATGGATGGATGCATGTAATAATCCAAGTCTTTTACAAGACAAGAATACACACACACATACTAATTATTTTTAACAATTGTTTCTAAAAATAATACACGAAAATATTTAGTAAATTGACTCTATAGATTGAATTAAATTGATAATGTGATTTCAAATTTTAGAAAAGATCAACTGTTTAAAATGTAATACAATATTTTTTTTCTACTTTATGTATATAAAGTTTATTATTAGAGAGAGACAATTCCTTCCTTCACAATAATTAAATATATGTTTGCCATTCAGTATGATTAAGAGCCCCAAACCCTCCCGGCGCCTTTTCTCCCGAAATCAAATTCTAAGTTAGTATTTTCAGTATACAGTCAAACTTGTCTTAGCGGCCACCCGAAATCAACGGCCACTTGCGGTCAGCGGCCACTTTCAGTTCCCCCGACGATTTTTCCTATATATTTTAACTGGAATAAACGGCCACCTGTGTAACGCGGCCAGCGGCCACTCAAATCCTCCCCCAACAGCCTTATTGACACTGTAATAGGCGGTTATTTCGTCACTTGCTGCGATTCTATTACGTCTTTTAAACTCATTCGCTTGGGTAATTATATTCCGATAGCCAATTTAACCAAGCTATTAATGCAATTAAACAAATGACTATTGGATACACTGGACTCTGTTTGTGTTTATGAAAAAAAAAAACCTGTTAGACGAATTTGTAATTATTTTTCAAGATCGCCGATTGAAAAATGAACAGAATTTAAATACAATTGATACTTTCCTCTACCTAAAGAAATTCACACCTTTTAGATTTTGATTCCATGTAGAAGCCCTAATTGCTACTCTTGTGAAAACAAAGTGCTTCATGTGGCATGATTATCTCGTGAATTTCACTATCAAGAGACGATCGATAGGGATTAGTCACGCTCCACTGCATATGACACCTGTGTTATGGAATGATTTTCAACTGTGTCAATACATCTCTCTAGTCAAGTGGTTAATTTTATTTGTGTGTTTGTGTATGTTACATAGAAATTCTGACAGCTTTATAAACAATAAAATTTTCCATGAATGAATGAATTCAGCAAGTAAGTTAATTGCCGATGAATTATTGGGGGGGGGGTTACACTGCTGACCAGTTTTGAACATATGCAAGTGGAATTTTTATTGACATATTCTTATTTAAATTTCTATGATTTATTTTATTTAACACTAAAATGTTTTTTTGTGTAATTTTTTTCTTTATAAAAAGGATAATAACCAGGCACTGTATGTATTTCTTATTTAAC